AACAAACCACATATACAAACGTCCGCCACGCACCGAGCACGCATATGCACACGCCACACGCGCGCGCAGACCACACACACTCACACTCGCCACGATGCCACAAGAAAAACAACATCCGAATAATTTCATGTTTACTTACAACAAGCACAGCATCCAAAACGCGCGGCTTGATACTTGTCAACCTGGTCACGCTTCCTTGTTTAAATTGTCTTCAAGTGTGTGTAACGGCTGATGTGCCTATCTATACTCATGTCTTTTATAACCAAGTTGCTCCAGCGCACACCCGCGCTCACGCAGCTGCATAGAACAGCTCCATACACAGACCCAAACACATTCATTATATAGTGTTAATTAAAATCAACGGTACATTCGTTAGTTTGTTTGCCAATTTTACTTGCAAATAGAAATGGATTTCTGATCCGTTTCCTATTTTAAAAGTCTAAATTAGAATGGGAAAGGGTTCGTGATCCGTTTTCCTATTTTAAAAGTCTAAATAGGAAAGAGAAAAGGAAAAGGAAAGGGGTATATACGTGGCGTGTATCTGCGTGTATGTGGCGTGTACGTGCGTGTACGTGCGCGTATCACCGTTGTACGCCGCGGTACGTGTGTGTAATCCGCGGTACCCGCGTTGTACGTCGTGATCTGCGTGTACCCGCGTGCACGTTGCGTGTACCGCGTTAACGGCGTGTACGTGTCTTGTACGGCGTGTAACCGTATGTTACTATACCTATTCTATGGCTTGTATCTGTGTATCGAGTACAAGCAATTTAGAGGCCGCCCTTATGCTGCCATACTCGGCAAATGTGGGGGTAGCCGTGAAAATCGACAGGCTCTTCAGGCGTGTTGCCCTCATCAAATTACACAAAATATGTGCTTTGTTGTCAGAAAGGCGGGCCAGAATTCGTTAACAGCGAGAGACTCATCTGTTATGATTGTTCTCACCATTTGTTAAACGCTCGGCGTATTTCACGTAAATACTTACATTCTCCGTTGCTAGGCCTCAACATTTCTCTTCGTATCAGCTCATAAACTGATATCCTGTTGGACTGAGATTATGTAATGTTGTTGCAGAGGGAGAGGAGCAATCACTGAAACTGACATTTACGGGAGCTTGGTACGTACGTACGGTGTAACCAATATTATTTAGGTGAAAACGACACATGAACAAACAAATTAGTACATAACTTGGTAATGAATAAATTTCGTGTTTATTTTGCCCACCAATCAATCAACCTCATTTAACTTCAACTCCTTCGGTATTCCAGAAAACAAATTACAAACCATTAACAAAACATTCTGTTCTATCTAGCCTAACAAACTAGCTGCACATTTTGCCCTGTCTAATTCTTTTTCCTGTTTTTCCTGCTAGTATTTTTTTGCTGTAGGCAGTTAGTTATAATGTGGGCTGGTATGATACCAGGGCTATATGTTTGACCACGTACTGGAATCGTGTGCACCAATCATCTTATATCCCAACTTAAAAAATATACCTGATGCTTGATCAATGCTTGCAAGTAAATGTATTGTCACTAAAACCCCCGCACACACTTGAAGCTACGCTCATCACGATCTGCCCCAAACTCGAAAATTTGGCCGAGCGTGGTTGAGAGCGATGCCAATTGGGCCCCAGCGCGCGATACGTACGATCTAAAGTGCGACTCTTTGATGGGGCGATTCCAAATGCCGACCGCATTGCGTCAAACGAGCTTTCACTCGCGCCAGGTCAGCGCTTCCTAGTGCGACTTAAGTCACGCTCGGACGTAGTAACAGCGGTGAATGAACAACGTATTGACATCGTGCTGAGAACGGGGAGACAATTTCACGCACAGCCGCAGCTTGCGATACGATCATTAAGTTGCGTACTACGCCTCGAGTTACGTGGTACTCGCCTTCCACGTCCTCTAATGCCCAGCACTGGCGCGTTCTTTCCGCCACGCTTCGCACAGACCGATTGTTTTAACATGCCAAAATTTGGCGACGAATCTCCCACGCTCATGTGACTGCACCGCAGTCCTATCGCGATCGCAGTACGTCCAATAGACGTTCATATAAGAGCGTTCTAAGGCGCATGTTCACCACGCTCTTAGAGGCGGCAGTGACGAGCGTAGTGAGGATCGGGGCCTGGTGTGACGGGGTTTTTTGTTACAGAAAATAAAAACTATATGGTTTGTTATGTCTAGGAAAATATTCCGTATACTTTACATAGATAAATCAAAAAACAAAATGGCAAAGACCAACCAGTCCGCATGAGCGACAATGCCCATCTGAGGTCTGCTGCTCTACTGTAGCGGCCTTTGTTCGCTCGAACTGCAAAAGGTGAAAGCCTGTTTCCATCGCGCTAAAAAAACCGGCTACGTCGTCATCAAACTGTTAGTAGGTATTAACGACTAAAACTAAACGCATAACACTGCATCCTATTCATACCCTGCTCGATCTGTCTATCGGGTTCATAAGTATAACTATATAGCCTATATTGCCCACGCAGATGCGCGTGCAAAGTGTAATACAATAATCAAAGATGGCATCGAACCCTACGTACGTTGGTGAAAGTAGTGAATGTCACGATCATCGATTAATATCGATCATTTATTGAACAAGAAACTTGGAAAAGTGATGAGAATCAGTAACATGTATTATACATCACACGTATAAACAAGTGCCAAACAAACAGTAATACAAGGGCTAAACCAAGCACATATCCATGCAAGCACACGGTTTACATGCGAACGACGTTCGCACACGCAGGCATTCAAAACACCTCGAGTAACCCGATTGTAATAGATCATCGTTACCTTGTCCAACCGATGATCGAGTTACGAAATTACAACTGATGACAACACTAGTGATAGTCAAGAAAGTAGAGATAACCCTAAATCTTCATTGAGTTTGCTGAAATTCACAGGCAAAAAATCAAGTAAGCTTCAAGGCAGCGACAATTTCGCTCCTGTGCAGTAAAATTAAACACATCTGCATTGCAGGCGTGCATGTTTATTAGATAAGAATGCCAGTTCACACCCATCACGAGTAATGGGTCCCCCCGGTTTTTGCCCTGACATTTCGATGACGTAGCCACGCGAGCATTCAGGTGCTATTAATATATCAGCTCGCTTAGAAAATAATAGATTTAAGGAGCATAAACCTGTTCAACAAACTTTGTCTTTGCCAAAATTTTAACTGCAATTGTAGACTCAACATCCACACAGGTATAAGGCTCAATTAATGTCAAAAGCAGTTCAGTCCTGTGTTAACAGTCAACAAATCCATGTTTTGTCAAGTCCTTTCCCCCTAATTGCTATGTGAGTGTTAGTGTTATTATTTGGATATCAACCAATGTAATCATGTGTAACAACAATGTGTAAACAAGAGCCGCAGAGTCTGGGTCAATCGAGGTCTGTTGCTACATTATAAACGTAACATTTAAGTCCGTGGCGAGTGACAATTTGTTAGGTGCGCAAGATATGCAGAGACCGCAGTTGCGCTACACATCATTCAGCAACGCTTAACTTGCATTCTGCATACCTCGCCAAATCCCTATTGGTTGATACAAATCGCGTGGCCATGAAAACTCCTGCTTTATGGTGCGATGTGCCCTAACCCTAACCATTAAATAAAATAAAAATTAATTTGTTGTAAAATTAATTTGTTGTTATTAAATTGTTGTAAATAAATCATTGGAAAATAGTTTTAATGAATAAAGATAGAAAAATGACAGAAATACAGGTAACATAAATGAAAAAATCTGATGGCATTCGATCGCAAGGAACCTTGTGAGCCGTGACGTCTGTGCGTAACCGTTTGGCTATCCAGGCTATTGGCTTTCTAAGGTTGGATGTGCCATGAATATGAGAACACTGTGACATCATTGAGGCAGTTCAGGAATCCATGATTTAACCCTCCTCGTTGGGTCAAAAGTATGGCAGACACTTATCTTCCGAAGCGTTCAGTGGAAAGTCACATTTTATGTCCTTTTATAAAGTGATAGAAAAATGTAGGTCAGCTGCCTGAAAAACAAAAAAAGTTTTTCACGTTGTCCATTAGGCCATGTCCTCAGATAAATGTCTGATATCTGACCTTTTCCCCAGTTTTTTTTTGTTTTTTATTTGTTTTTGGGGGGGCTTTTTTTTTTTTATGTTTTTTTTTTTTTTTTGTTTTTTTTTGATTTTTTTTTTTTGGGGCGTCCCCTTTGACGCTGTCACGCTCAATTTCGTACCTGATGAATGGGTTTCCTGCCCATCAGCACTTATACACCGAATATTAAGAGGCATTAGGTCGAGCGCGTTCAGATTTGTGCCGCATTCCGGTATTTCCTCCATACTTTAAGTTAAGGGGGAAATTTCCCCCTCCGTTTTAGACCTCTTGACGCTTTGACCCTTGACCCCCAAATTGGTCACTTCCTGAGTCCTTTTCACGATCCCCCCCGACGTCCGAATATTCGTGACCGTACGTCGAGCGGTTTAAGATTTTGTGCCAGAACTGTATGACAAAGGACGACGGACAGACGCAACGCTAAATGCGATTCTACAAGCTGCAATCTGACAGTAGCCCGCGTTGCAACGTAGCAAAAATCGGAATCTTTTAGGCGTTCTACCACGAGCAAAATACGAGGCCAAGAAATACGCGTATCTAAAACAGATCCGGTATTTCTGTAAACGAGGCTCCAGACCGCCGAAAATTGCCGTGCTTGAGCAAATGCCGGATTTCTTTGGACCGCGGCATTCCTCGTGTGAACGCTAAATTACCGGACTTTCTGGCAGCCGCGCTATTTTATAGACTGGTCCGCGCTCGACAGTTCCAGTGTAACGCGAGTGGAACTGTCTAGCGCGGACCAGTCTACGTATTTTATCGGCAGTTGGTGCGCATTGCATTGTTTATTTCGCATTGTTCGCTTGATTGTTTAAAGCAGCTCGCAGCTCACAAATACCGTATTTCTGGAGCCGCAAATCAGCGTGTGAACGCTCGGCCGCGTATTTGTCTCAGATACGGTATTTCGCAAATCCGGTATTTCATAAATACGAGGTCTCGTGTGAACGAGGCTTATGTCAGATGAGCTAATAAAAATACAGTAAACAGCAAAATAACTAAAAGTCATTTCAATTACTCACAATTCAATACAACTAAAGTACATGAGAGTAGACTACTGGGCGGTGGTTTAAGACAATTTCTCCATCACTTCATGTTTTCTCTGCCGTGTGGTGCCTCAAAGTCCAAATCTGGTCCAATCGGAATGATTCCAAAGGGATTTATATTAAGTTGGCTTGCCTGCAAGAAGATACAAATTAGTTTAGTCCTGTGTTAAGAAAACAATTCATTTTAAATTCCAATTATCTTTATTGTTTGCTCATTCATCTAATCATGCAGCAAATTCTAACGGGAGGTAAATTAATTTGTCACAAATGCACTCGACAGATTTCATTTTAGTGAGTATGTGTCTGTACACACCATATATCTTCCTACTCACCATGTAACAATTTCTGATGTGCTCAATGTTAACAGTTTCTCCGATGCCGCGATGCTGGTAGATGTCTCTAGTGTACCCCCATAAGTTTGGATACTCTCTCAAGCATTTCTTGTTACACTGTAAAGCACAAATATTGTCAGACATAAAAAAAATCAGTAAGACATGCATTTAAATTTTAGTTGTTCGTTTTTGATACTCTCGCAAGCACTTCTTATGACACTGTAAATATTGTCAAGAACATGAGGAAACCCTTTAATTGCACTAAATTTAAAGCCTTGCAGCCTCATGTTTACATATTACTTCTTGTTTGCAGAATTTGTAAGATTGCACATTGTTATTATAAAATGCCTATTTACTTGAATCACAACTTTTTAAAAGGTTGGCATCTTTTTATGTCACAAAGTTTGATAATTATAAATATCTCGAGCTAAAAAGAGCCACCTTGAAGTGTCCGTGGTAAACCTGGTCAAACCTGACCAGGGTCACAAACAGCCGTATGTCTGCTTCAGTCAGCTGGTTGCCACACAGGTACCGTTTGCGGGATAAGATTTCCTCCACCTGCATACAAAGAGATATCCGAATATGTAAAAAGTCCTGATTTTATAGTATAGAAATCACAGAACGCTTTGTAAACACATGTCATGAGGAGGCAACTTCGACATGGTCAACTAAGGTGGTGCAGGTTGGGAACACAGAATCCAGGTAAAAAATGCCAGACAGCAAAAATAGGGAAGGTAAAGAGAAAACCCATGGCAGAATTGAGAAGGATTGTGAGAACAGAGGGTGAAGCCACATTCATTCGTCTCTATTGATCTTTGATCTGCTTGCATCAAGTGTGTGCTTTCAACGATAAATTGTTGATATTTAAATCGTACACAAATAGGAAATCAGTGTCTACTCTCTACAATGGTCCAGTTGACAGAAACATCTGTAAATTGTTACGTTAGTCATAACTATATATTTATGATGATTCTCAGAAACAGCCCTAGGTCACTGTTATTTGTTTGCCTGTGATTAATATTATCATTTCCCATTTTAAAATTTGGGCTTACCCTATCCAACGACTCAAACACTTGATGAACAGCAACGTTATAAGGCTCTTGTGATTTTGCAAATCCACAACGATAAACTCCATTGTTAATGGTCCTGAAATAAAAAACAGGCAAACAGTTATTTTCAGGATGTGAGATTGGACCAATTTCATTGTCTGGGAACCAGAAAATACCAGATAAATTGTTCGTGATTCTAAAATAACAGTCAATTTCCGAAGTGGGGAATTTCCCGAATTGCGAATTTGGTTAAACTGGAAAATGGGAAAAGGCTTGTTTTTTACCTGAAACACTGGGAATGTACCCCACTCAATTCACCGCTCTGAACTAGCAATTGAATCTCAACAAAATTAATTTGTTTCACGATACTCCGCCGGTGTGCTTCATACATGAACCTGGCAACTTAACTTACAATTGCAACATATAATGGCGTCAGGAGTGATATAATAGAATAATAGGGATAAATTGACTATTACGTCACTCCTGACGGCATCGCACGTGATTCGCTCACGGATATATCCAAGAGTTGAACTCGTCAATCTCGGCCTGCAGCGGCTGCGGGTACAGATCCAGAGCCGCCTGCTCGGGTGTCGCGCAGAACTCATTGAACTCGCAGTTGAATATGCGTATGATCTCGGCGGACTCGTTGTTCACGATCGTTCCGGTCTTCTTGTCCCACAGCACAGGAACGGTGATGGCGCCAGCGTAACCTGAATGCACACAGCCGTTGCATCTTGGGGGAGGATACGTAGAAGTAGGAGTGTAGTAAAGTGTGAAAGTAAAAGCATGACTAAACGTCATAATACGTGCAACTACAGGAACTGGAAGCATCACTAGTAGATGTATTACTAGGAGGAAGTATATACTAAGTAGAAGCATAATTATAAGTAAAATATGTGTAAGTACAGCTAGGTATCGTGTATGTGTTTCGTCATGAACATGTCTCTAACGAACATAATGACTTGGGATCAAGAACAATATTTTATTCCTATGCATTCCTATGCATTTCCTCCCCTGCCACAAACTGGATGTTCCATGTAAAACTACCTCAGCTCCATAGGAAATCACAACTGAGGGAAATGTCCCCATCAATTTGGCATTTTACCCATTAACTGAACACCAGTAATGGCCTGGTCAATACAAGAGCTAGCTAGGCAACTACCATGCAACCATATACACATCCAAACCCATTCACGATTCATATATCATAATTTTTTACTAAAATCGTGATGGGTGGTCATCATTCTGTGGCAAATAGACACTTTGATAAGAAAATTTTAAACACTGAATGGGTTTCTTTCCTCTGTGACTTACAAGAGTCCGCCTTCAAGTAAACCTCTCTCAGTCTCTCTGATCCATTTACCGTGTCAGCTGTGGTAACATCGTCTCTCTGAAAGACATTTAACAATCACTCAGATGCAATGTACCTGTAGCTGCAATGCTAAATCCACTATAACTCCTGTGCCATAAATATGATATTATATCATATAATCATGAGCGTATATCTATATATACTATATATATATATATATATATATATATATATATATATATGTTATATATCACATCTGAACAAAATAAGATATAACATATATATATATTTTTTCAGTTTTTTTTAGTTTCATCATGGGCAGAAAATTGCATATACCTCATTGTATGTTTAAAATAGCTTTCAATTAAAATTTGACCATTGATTAAATAAAACAGTAATGGAAAAGCAAATACATTTTTGTGAATACCACAAGTTTCCTTGGCAGTGCTTTATATATCAACTCACGCTAACTGGAATATGTCATTGCACAGCAGCATAAACAGTATATTTTCTAATACATGAAAACAATCAAAAATAAATTATTCCTCTTACGTTTGGATTAAATTTCCAACCTCCCTCGTCCAAGAACCAGTCCACGACATTTAAGGAAATGATCTTCTCCAACCCCTTCAGTTTGCGAACGGCAAGTGTGCGTGATGCAAAAGGACATGCGTAGCAGACGTATAGGTGGTAGCGATTTGCTTCTGCTTTGAAGCCGCTGGAGCCATCAGCTGTAATAGTACACACAGTTAAAATATATTAAAGTGCTAATAATTACAGGAATTATGTCTCACATTTAGGTGCTCTCGTGTAAAGCTGTGATTATACTATATGTTGCAGCACTAGCTGCTTGGCGCTGGCACCGTTTATTTTTGATGGGCAATATATACTGATTATTATATTATGTCACGTGACATGCTCTGTATACCAATTACCATGCCATATTTTCCACACCTGTATATATATATATATATATTTTATTATTCTATTATTCAAAAATCTCCTATTCCTAAATCTCTATTAGTCACTCCTGATACCATACATACGTAGTACTTGCTGCTACGAAATTTGAATAAAAAAAAACACAATGCGAATGGAACAATCAGTGCATATAGTCATGCACACAACATGGACACAGCAACATGTAAACCCGGCCCCCAGGCCAGGCATGGATCCTTACGTGATCAGCTACCTCAAATGTCTGACCCTCTACTGCAGCCTGTGAATGAGGATTTTCTTTTCTGGTACACAAAAAGAGATACACTGTATACTTTGCTGTCAGTCTACTGTCTACACTCTACAGTCTACAGTCAGGTGCTGTTGAGCAGTTGAGGGTATATAATTTAAATGTTTACATTGTTACCCCCCTCCCAATTTTCTCAACGAATTTAGACGTTTCACAAAATCGACCCCTGCGACTGGTCAAATCTGCGGATTTCCGCGGATCCGCAGAAGAATCTCATCCCTGGTAATCACAGTAGCCAATCACGGTAGTGATTGTCACGCTTACAGAGGCTATAGGCCGCCATTTTTTGTTGTGGCGGGCATTCGGCTTTCGATTCGCGTTTAGTCGAGAACGAATATCAGTCTCAGAGCTTAGGGAGAGAAAAATGTCAAACATCAGTGTTATTATGTGATGTGTGCGACAGACATTGTTTCCGCGTCATCTCCAGCTTTCAAAGAGTGACTGTACAGCCCTGTTCCTTCTCGGGTTGTCACACCGTATGACCACTGTTGCTGTTAACATTGAATATGCGAACCGTATCAGTTTTCGTACGGCACATTCACTGTTCGAGACGGAACTATTAAGTCGTTTCGCTGTGTGCACCCCTATGCAGATCTACGGTGGACTCGTCGAACTATTTGTGGCAGCAAGGACAAGTTTTCCTGAACTTATTCGGCGAGTCGTCTGCGCTAGCGCTACAGACTACAGACTATAGGCTACAGACCGGTCGCGCTCGAGGATTTCTCCCGTCGTGCCAACGTTTAGCGTCACCGCAGGCAGAGTATCGTGTTGTTGACGTCTTTTGTTTCTGCCGGAACAAGTACGAGTGTGTACGCTAACGCAGCAGCTACAGTGGAGGCAAGGTCCCGAACTTTCGGCATCATCTCGTTTGTTGTTTCCCTGCAGAGAACTTAACTCGCAGTGAGGCAGTGCCGTCATCGTAATGTCATTTATTTGTTACTTGTAGTTGTACGTTGTATCGAACATTGTAATTTAATTTGGGTAACCCAGTGGTAACCGGTGTTGTCAATGACAAGGTATTTAGCATTATTCAGCAGGTTTTGACGTGTAGACAATTGTTCATACTGGCAGTGTTGTAGCGCTACTACTAATAGTGTTGTTGTACTATTAATATTATGTCTACATGTTACTTGCATACCATGATGCGTGTTATTGGTGGGGCAATGAGGTACATTTGAAAACAATAGGCATATAGGGGGCGCTGATAAGCAACTCGGTCCTGCGCAACAACTGCTGCGCGGTGTTTACAAGTGAAAACTGTACTGTACGTACCGTGTTCTGTTTTCAACTCGGTGTTGTTTTTACCTTGGACAATGCCAACCGAATATTGTGTACTACATTGTGGGACGAGGGGGAGGACATGCTTTCCCTGTACGTTTTAAGCAGCGACGTGCCTGGATTAGAGCTGCNAAATTAAGGAGGAAATGTTCCCCCTTCTTTTACACCTCTTGACCTTTGACCTTTGACCCCCAGCTTCGACATCCCAACTCGTTTTCGGATTACCCCCTCACGTCCCGAATATCGTGACCGTACGTCGAGCCGTTTAGATTTGTGCCCAACTGTTGACGGACGGACGGACGGACGCTCGCACGGACGGACGGACGGACGGACGGACGCACGATCATGCGATTCTACAAGCTGCATCCGACTATGTCAGATGAGCTAAAAATAGGTGGTGAATGCGAAGAGAACACGCGAGAGTGAGTTGTCTAGATTTTGATTGATGGTGTGGGTAGTTTCCATCCTAAACTCTATACCGTTTTATTTGGAATATTGGCATCTCACTCCCCAAATACCGCATTTCTCCCCCACAGGTGAATGTACCCATAATTAACAGCACCCATATCACGTGATACCTGTTATCTTGTTGTGAAATGCAGTAGGTTTCCTCACAAATTCTCCCTTCACTGTCAGATCTATAGTAGCTACTGACGCCATCGACGTGGTGGCTGCTGCGGTGTGATATAAGGTCTGTGAAAAACGAATCGTGGAACGTAGCGTGGTCAAAGGCGTGGTCATGTGCTTGTAAAGTCGGGCTGTGGGATAGAATTCAATCGTTCATGCATGACGATTATAGGGAGCAAGTGCGTGTGCACGTGCGGGCGTGCGTGCGTGTGTGTCCACGTACACATGCGTGCGTGCCAGTGAAAAAAATACACAGGGGCTCGAGGCGATTTAGCCCCCGAAATGCCAAAAAGAGCCCCCGTAAATTTGCATAGAGTTCAATGCAAACCAAATTTTAGAGTGCTATTTTCATGCACGCAAGCTTGAAAAGTAGCCCCCGAAAAATAAATTTTTAATAATTTTTAATTTTTAATAAAATAATTTTTCCCCTGGACTGCGTGCGCGTGCGTGCATGCGTCTGTGTGTACGTACACATGCGTGTGTGTACACGTACACAGAATACACCGTACACGGACGCACGAACGTGCGCTCGCACACACACCGCACGCACACGCACGCACGCACACACACACCACACGCGCAAAGCTCTGCACAAGTTTACCGCGGCGCAGGCTGCTGGGTGAACATACCTACATACCTATACGAGTGACAAAAATTGCTGTGTCACGTACATGCAGCGCCTGTACAGTAAGTATGAGTAAAAGGAATAATCTTTGTGCAAGCATATGGAATCTGGTTACCCTATGAGGCCGAAGAGGAAATGTAAGTCTACGGTCAAGGTCAAACTAAGGTCAAGGGCAGTGGTGGTTTTGGTATGCGACAGACCTTCTCCCCAAGATGTGCAAGCATACCAAGTTTGGTCGCGCTAGGTCAATTAGGGGCAGAGTTAGAGAGCGGAAGGAAAATATGATCAAGGTCAAGGTAAAGGTCGCAGTGACCTGGTTTTGGTACTCTGCACACCTTCTCCCCAAGATGTGTAAGTATACCAAGTTTGGTAGCGCTAGGTGAATTAGGGGCCGAGTTACAGAGCGGGAGGGAAATATGATCAAGGTCAAGGTAAAGGGGAAATGAAGGTCGCAGTGACCTGGTTTCCCAGACACCTCGCACACCTTCCCCCCACACCTTCCTCCTCCTTCCACCCTTCCTCACCTTCCTCGCACACCTTCTCCCCAAGATGCCAAGGTGCGTTATGGTAAAGCAAAGACGCCAATCGGTTTTAGCGTGGGCGGAGTCATCGTTGCCATGGTAACAACATTTTTGTGGAAATATTGTAGAACCTGTAACTTGTGCTGGTTTTACCCGATTGTCATGGAATTTGGCACACAGGGCCGATATAACATGTCCTATATATATATGTATATATTTAGGTATGTGACAAAACTCGCATTCATGCAGCAGTGGCAATTGTCTCTGTTTCTCCTGCTGACGATCTGTTGCGTCGCGCAGAGGTATCCCATGAAAAGTGGTCTTGTGATTGGTTTGCGTTGGGTATTCCACGGGAATCCTTGATATGACGTAGAAGGAATCACCAGCTATCGCCTCGATTTCGAATTTTTCACATTGGTTAGGGTTTTCATTATGATCGATTTCCTTTAACTTTTAGGACAAACTCAGCAGCCGTATAGTTCCTTATGTTATATATGAGAATATTCTGAGGTAAGCTGAGATGTTTTACTATGTTTCAACCATAAACTTACGAAGTTTCATCGAGATCTGACGATCAGAAACGCTTGGTAAAACATTTCATCATAGGGTCGATGATTGAGGATTTTATCAACGATAGTTTGCCATAAAGTTCCCTATGGCTAGCCTGCATCTGATCACGTGACCTGAATGGCGCAATTTGATTGGCTGATCAGCTGTGTTTACGAACAAAATTCCATGTGTACATTTCTGAAACTTGCTGTATGCACTGTAGCTAATGCAGTGCATTGATTCAATGGTAACTTACCTTAGTCAGACAGAATTGTACAAGACAGGAAATTTTAACCAGTATTAATGGCTATAGCATCACAAACCTTATTATTACAGCTATAGTTACTTGTTGTATAATAGATTATAAACAGATAATGTATCATAGAATGTAGTAAGATAGTAATTTATATGTGTGTGTGTGTGTGTGTGTGTGTGTCTGTGTGTGTGTGGGTGCGTGCGTGCGTGCGTGCACGTGTGTGTGTGTGTGTTTATGCTGGGTGGGGTTGCTACACTGACGGCGCTCGTGAAACTGTTGTGAGACAATGAAGAACGACTGTCGCCTCTCATTTTCTTTCACTCTCGCTCGCTCTCTCTCTCTCTCTCTCTCGCTCTCTCTTTCTCTCTCTCTCTCTCCCCTGATATCCTAGTCAGATTTGGTGAATTTCTGAAAGTTCTTGTCATGACAAAGCAATAAGTGGAGTAACGGATTGACGCGAATTAATCAATTAAAAGTGTTTAATTAACTAAGATATTTCAAAAATTCAGTTAGATTTCATATGAGGATATACTATATTCTCATTATCCTGAAAATTTTACTGGAATATATTGAGAAAAAAAAGTTATGATATATGTTCTGTCATTTTTAGCAATTTGCGATCACAGTTTTCACATAAAACGAAAGGAAATACAATAGACAATAATTTTCGTAAAAAACGACAGTAAAATTGCTATAAGTTTCTTAATTTGTTTCTCAACCAATTTTCAAAATCTTGGTATCATTGTATTGCTCAATAATTGCTCTTAATTTCCAAGCCCCATCCTGTCAATCTAATCAAAAACCTTTTTAAACATTTTGAATTTTTTTGTCACATACCCGGTACCTAATTATATTGGTCCTGTGTGCCAAATTTCATGACAATCGGGTAAAAACTGCAGAAGTTACACATAGTTCATACAGGACTAAAATTTTTTTCAAGGACTTTTCAAGGACATTTTATTGGAAATTCAAGGACATTTTATCGGAATTCATACACAGAACAAAACATACCTGGATTAATTTAATGACCCCATGCTTAATCACTGCATGTCACCTCTAAAACTTACCTGGATCACATTAATTAATAAACCCTTCTAATTTTCTAAACACTGTCACCTCTACAGTACAACATACCTTGATTTACTGACTGATTTTACTGACTTACTGTAATTTGTGATCATCGTGTCTATAGCTTTTTAAGCTCATTTAACGCAATTTTTATTGAGGTTTGCACATTATTGATGGTACAAAATTTCTTTTTATTACAGGCAAGGATTCTTTCTAAAAATTCAAGGACATTTTCATGAAATTCAAGGACTTTTCAAGCACAAAATCAACATTTACTAAATTCAAGGACATTTTCATGAAATTCAAGGACTTTTCAAGCACAAAATCAACATTTACTAAATTCAAGTACTTTTCAAGGACTACCCTCAAATTCAAGGACCTTTCAAGGACTGTGCGTTTCAAGGCCTGTGTGCGTTTCAAAGACTAACTTTTCAAGGACTGTGCGTTCAAAGGACTGTGACGTTCAAGGACCTTTCAAGGACTGGACCTTTCATAGACAGGTTCTAGAATATTTCGACAAAAAATGTTGTTACATTGTAGCGCTCACAAGGAAATGCGTGCGGCGGCGGCGGCGCGACCACATGCACTTGAAGCGTTTCAACTGTAAACACACGCCGCCGCCATTGCGCGGCTATAGTCACACTATATATTTATGTGTCAGTGTGCGCGCAATGGCGGCGGCGAGTGTTTACAGTTGAAACGCTTCAAGTGCCTGTGGGCGCGACGAAGCCAAATCCATAGTAATAGTATCCCCCCGAACTATACTAAATCTCACATATTATCCTTCTACACTACAGTTCGATGCTGACAGAACATACACTTTACACTCTAGCACAAATGTTTATGCATTTTTCTAAACAAGTAATTATGTGTTTAATTACTCATGTCCTTACCGTCGGGAAGAGTAAATCTATTGTAGAAGCAACAACAAACAACGAAATTCGATATGGCGGCGAAAAAGAGAGATAACGCATGCTCTAACCCGAGCATGTCGGAAGTGACGTAACTTGTACGCATCGGCTAGCAATCGTTTTCGCAACGCTTTTGAATGGTTATTTAATGGTTTGGTATGAATGAAACGTTTTCCAAACGTTCGTAAAACGTTTCTAATAAAGTTATATTTATGTTATTTGAAAACGTTTGCTAAAAACGTTCTATTACGGTTAGTAAAACGTTTATAATAAGGTTATATTTATGTTATTGAACAACGTTTGCCAAAAAACAGTTGACGCGGTTGACAGTTGAAACAAGAAACAGTGTACCGGTACGTGCGTGTACCCGCGTGCACGTGCGTGTACATGCATGTACCCGCGTGTACGTACGTATATACCAGCGTGCAAGTACGTGTACCCGCGTGTATACGTACGTGTACCTGCGTGCAGGGGCGGCGCCACAGGGGGGGGGGGCAGGGGGGGGGCGGTCGCCCACCCTATCATTTGCAAGAAAAAGGAAAAAGAAGAAGAAAAAAACAGAAAAGAAAAAAAGAAAAGAAAAAGGAAGAAAAAGAAATAAGGACAAAGAAGCAAGAAGAAAAAGAAAAAGAAACATCTTGGCAAATGTCTGTGCAAAGTGAGGGTTGGTGGTGTGGGGCTCAACCCCCCCCCAGTCATTTGGCAAGAAACGGTAAAGAAGAGAGGAAGACTTCCTTGGCAAATAAGTAGATCGCCCACAAACAGATGAGTGATGTAGGCCTACAAGCTGGACGCACTTTTCATCGAAAAAATCAAAATATGTAAATGTCGAAATCAATCCATATAAAACCTGTGATTATTTTGATAATCGATGTCAAGGTGTTCCATTTCCTTGGAGTCCCCAAGTTGGGACCATCATTTGTCGATGGATTGCTGTTCCCGGCGAAGGTAGGCAACTTGAGGTGTTAACGAACTTAAATTATAATTAAAACGTTCCGAGATGACCGCTGCTCAATAAATCTGCTACATACTAATCTATATTTTACCTCGCCCATCGGAGTGAAGGGGGTTGTATGTGATCGGTCTGTGCGTGTCGTGGTACAGGACGTTAGCAGGCGCCGCGCGCGCGCAGCGAGTGTGTGTGTGTTGCGTGTGTGTGTGTGTTGTGTGTGTGTGTGTGTGTGTGTGTGTGTGTGTTGTGTTGTGTGTGTTGTGTGTGTGTGTGTTGTGTGTGTGTGTGGTCGGTGTGTTGTGTGTGTTGTGTGGTGTGCTGTGTGTGTGTGTGTGTGTGACGCGATTGTATTAGCGCGTCAAGCGAACGAGCCAGCCACAGCCGCGCTGCTGCTGAGTGGGCGGCCGAGCGAGCATTCGCTGGCGTAGCTATCGTGGTTATTCGTGTGTTCGTGAGTCCGTATGCGTATGGCGTATGTTCTTGGCGGAGGTATGCTCTCTCCGTGAGTGCCTCTGTCTAGTTTTAGTTAGTGTGTGTATGCGTGCGTGTGTGCGTGTGCGTATGCGTATGCGTGCGTCCATCTTACTCCGGTCATGTTTTCTCGCCTCTACATAATACAAGTATTATTATTGGTTCAAGTGCTACAGCATAGATTTTAAAGCAAATCACTGTTCCCCTCACAGTTCCGCGAACCCCCTCTTTTAAACGTGTCCAGTTTCCATAGCATTGAATTTCAACGAAATCCTAGCTAGTTCCGGAGACCCCCATTTTCGAACATAGCCGGTTCCAAGAGCATACCAAATTCAACAAACATTAGTTCCGGAGACCACCATTTTCAGGTCTGAGTTCAGTTCCAGAGCCCCCCCCCCCATTTTTAACTTCGCAGTGGCACATACCAGATACCTACCATAATGTGGGGAGTGAGTTCCCC